GGTTAGAGGGTGTTTAAAAAGTGTGATAGCAGCAGGGACACTGGATGTCCTTAACCTGTCAGTGAAGCTAGCCTCTTGCTGCTGCTGCTGAGCCAGGAAGCTGTTGAGAGTGTGTCTATTGTCCATTACAGCGTCCTGCCAAGCTCTGAGCTGGCTTTCCTCCTCATCATTGTATCTGTCAGATTGTTACCCAAACATATAGCCGCTTTCCACAGAAACTTTAAATATCCCACTTACAATCTTTAATGCTAGAAGCTAATAGTTAGTTCATATTGATATTAGCTGTAGAAAAATACAGTATATAACCTGTTGTTTATTCTGTTACTTTTACTATTTTATCAATGATATTTTATAAAAGATGGCTGTTAAAATGTAAAATCTGAATGTGAACAAAAGGAGGCCCAGGACCTTATTATCACAAAAGAGTAAAATAAATTTGTTTTTCCTCTTCAGTTTGATTGATCCACAGACTCAAGTAACAAGAATCAGTGTAAGTATGGACAAACTGGTTTTATTAGTTTAATTTTTGACTGCATGTCAATATTCTGTGGGCGTGTCTCAGTTCCAGCTGGACGAGGTGTGTCAGTTCGCAGCTCACCAGGAGAATGGGAGGCTGATGGGATTTGTAGTTGAGGGGAGAGACTGGAGTGACGGGAATGAGGAGGGAGAGCCTTCGTTCAGCGCCTTCGTCTTCGAGAGCAACACGGAGGGGGAAAAGGTTGCTTTTTCAACTTTTATTTTTAGAGAATGGAAACGTGTTCGTTGATGTAAACTCACGCTTTTTGTTTTTATTTGCAGATCTGTTACACCATCAACCTGTCAAAAGAAATTACAGAAGCTAAAAAGGTAACACTTTATTACAAATCTAATGTTGCACATTTAAAGTTAAAACCAGTTGCTGGATGTTTTATTAGATTTCTTTAAACAAGAACAAAGGGTGATCTGATTTCATAATAATATGGTATATTTAAATTACATTTTACCCTAAAATCATTGGAAATTAGCTGCATTATGTTAGAGGGTCTTTATTAATGAGTGGATTAAAAATAACGCAGCTTTATTGAGAAAATTCCTGCTGTAGAAATAAAGATCGGTCACTAGAGGGAGCACTTTACCTCCAAATGTCACAAAGACAAAAGGTGTTTTCACAAGTTAAACCAAAGTAAAGAAGACGTTCTCACTCAGATGGAGACATTTGTTGTGTTTCTTCAAAGGATCCAGAGGCGCTGGCCAAGCTGATGAAGAACATGCCTCTGACCAATGAYGGCAAATTCCTGCTGCTGGAGCCTGAGACGAGCAACTCCAACACCGGAGAGGGTCAGGAGGACTTGGAGTCTGAAGCCTAGTTTTTATTAGGACACCCACCTAAAAAAAACCAAGACCAGAGCCACTACTGTCACCTCTGCCCTGGATAACAGTCCCATCATGACCCTTAACTCTAACTCATGTAACACCACTCTCCTCCAGTGACCCTACATGGTGAGATCTCTATACTTTGATATGATCGAAGCAGAGGATGTTAACAGAGGAGCGCTTGACCAAAATGATGACAAAAACCCATCTCACTGGTGTGTTGCATTTACAGCTTTKATTCCACGATCGATGTAGCATTGATCATTGGAAGTCCAGTTTTTGTGTTTTTGCCTTGCGTGCCACTTTAGGTGGTATGCTCATCTGAAGTTAGACTGKTTTATATCCTCAGCCATCAAAGAGAAGGYAGTGAAACTTTCATTTCACTTTAGGTTTACATCTATTTTAGGTTATCGTTTGAAGTGTTTTCTTTTAGGTAATACCTTGTTTTACTTGTAAGGCTTTTATGATTTTACTCGGACGGTTATTTCATGATTACTAATGTAAAAAAAGGAAATAATAATAATAATTGCACTTCCAAGTTTGCTATCTTGGTTAGAACAATGGTTGTTTATGGTMCATGATGCTCAAATTAAGAAACTAAAGAGGTAAAGACAACGAAAGGTTMGAAGTTTCTTTGATCTGCAGGGCAGTTTTCTGTAGGTTACCCTGTATAATCTGAAGGTATGAAGCTACACAGTTTTGCTCTTTGCACTTTTACAATGAGGTTACAAACCTAAAAACTTGTCTTAATCATGCCTCACCTGACATAAGTCCTATCTACTGGTACAAAACAAGGCAGAAGTGGAATACATCCTCACCGCAAACCCCACAAAAAAACTTCTTAGGGTTTTGTTTCCTCTGAATCCTGTGTAAATAGATTCCATCCAAGTGTCTTTATGATGTTTAAACTGGCAATATACCACAGCGGTGCATGAAGACATGATGCACCATTCTCATATTCTCTCTCTCTCTCCCTTTACAGAAGATTAAAGCCTCTTTTTTTCCAGCTCTCAGCCGTAATATTAGAAGAAAAGGAACTAAAATGTTACAGAAATGCATGAAGCAAGACCAATCAGGTATTGCACTTTCGGAAAAGCATGTTTCGCATACGTAACTTATGAATGATAACCGAAGCACCAGAGGAGCTAAAAGAAGAGTGGACTGTGAAATTCTTCTCTCCCTCTTCATCTTAAAGCAGTTCAGGTTTGATCCCACTTTAGCTGCGACACCAGTTTTTAATCTGCTGTAAATATGATGGACTAACGCTACAATACTTTTGTTTACATTTATACAGTCCACTAATGTCTAAAGATTATTTAGGACAAGTTTTTCATATTCTTTAAAAACAAATATTTAGCATTTCGCTGAGGGGTTTTACCTACTTCCTGTTTAATAGATGGTGAGCAGAATGGTGGTGAGACAATTGTAGGTAACAAATAAGTAAATCTAAACATCAAGCTAGAAAAAAGTTCTGAGAATTGAAGCCATCTGTCACACTAAACACATGAACCAAGTAAACCTAAACACCTCTCTGATGTACAGATTTTTGCTCATCGAGTATCTGAAGGTGATGATTGAGCCGTTTCAGTCATAAACTCTGTAAAGCTCTGACATCTTCACTGCATTATTTATTTAGTTTTGCTCCGTGTTTGATTAAACTGCAGTCCGTTTTCTGTCTGACGGCTCACTTGATGAAATTTGTTCAAATGTTACCCATCGAGAAATAAATCCTCTGGATGTGACCCGCTGCAGCTCATTCACACCTAATATAGTCATGCTACATAATCTTTATATATTTTTGCTTTGGAAGTAAATAATAAAATAAAAGGCTTGTGCAGAAAATATATTTCCATATTTCACCAAGGATTGTATTTTCTCCTTATGTGTCTTTTTTACAAATGTCAGAATTTTTCCATCCAAAAGGCTTTATGCTTGATTTGTCCTGGTTTTGTAAAACCACTAATGCTAATGTTCAGTCTTAAATAAATACATCATTTCTTACTGGAGTAAATGTGCTTTCTTACCATGACCTCAGAGCTTTGAAAGAAACACCAGAAATGTCAACATTTAGAGCTTTTAATAAACAAAACACTGGCTTTTTTATTTACATTAAAAACAATCTCATTCATGTTGATGTCTATTATTTGGAACAAGACTAATTCTTTAAACCATGATCCTGAACAGTTTGTAAAGTCACTTTTATGCCTTACAACAGCTGAGGTGAGCTCACATAAACTTAAATAAATAAGCAAAATGTCAAATTTCTAACGTTTTGCTCACATGAAACATCAGACCAGCCTGCATCTTAGGAATCCTTGTAGTAGTTGTTGAAGTTGATGCGGAGCAGAAAATCCTCAAGGTGAGGCTGATAGCCTCTGTTGACCAGCTTAGTAACAACTGTCACAAGAAAGAAGATGCAGGTTATTATTTCAGCCTCACTTCATTTAAACTATTTGCTGCTAATCATGCACTTTTTCTTCTCTAATGTACACATCACAGCTTTTTTCCTAAGAAAAAGCTTTCAGTAATGATGGCACTAGCTCAGACATTGAATTAAATTATATTTTTTTACAGTACTAAATTACCTATTTGGACAATTATAGATTGTGATATTTTTTCTGTTCCTGTGAATGTCCACAGACACTAAACGCCAATTAGATACTTTAAACACTGCTTATTTTAAATGAGACATAATGATCTACACCAGATTAATTGTAAAACAGTCGAGTTAAAACGAAGAGGTCAGAGTTATATCTCTAGAATCAAGTGTTTGCTGGATTATACTGTAAGGTCTGTGGTCTTACCTTTAAAAAGAAAATGAGAGTAATACTTGAAGGTGTTGTACGACTGCTGCATGGCAATAAAGCTGGGGTGCACTGCCTCCCCCTGCTGGTTGTCCCACGGCTGAGAGATCAGCTGCGCCCGAAATTTGAGGATCAGGCTGAAGATGCTGTGGATGATGTTCATAACCGGAGCAGCTTTCTCTGTCAGCAGACCTCTGCAAGACACGACACTAACGGTTTTAAATTCAGTACAAAGCTGTGTTTAGGGTTTTAACATTTAGTTTGCAGTATAGCTCTTGGACATGTAATGTAAAACACTCTTGCAAAACTAACATGAGGTTATCTAAATTACACTAAATCAGTCAAGACTCAGGTTAACAACAGCTGCCACCGATGCTGTTGACAAACAGGAAGCTAGTGGAAATGGTGCTACGCTTAATCAAAAACTGTGAGGAGAGAGAAGTGTCAGGAATCAGAGAGAGAGGAGGAAAGCTAAGAGCGGAGGACTGAGGGTGGCAATGTTAAATGCAGGGACAATGACAGGCAGAGATAGAGAGCTGGCTGACATAATGCAGAAAAAAGGTAGATGTTTAATGTGTCCAACAAATAAAAGTGGAAATGAAGCAAGGCTTGCAGCACAGCAGCCAGGTTTCAGCTGTTTTACCGTGTTTTGGACAGAGAAGGAAATGGAGTAGGGCTAGTCCTGAAGGAGGAGTTAGCAAAGACTGTAGTAGAAGTGAAAAGTGTGTCAGATACAGTGATGTGTCTGAAGGTAGAAGTAGAAGGGCTGATGTTAAATGTGGTTCTGCTCCACAGGTTGGTGGATCTAGATGAAGTGATAGAGAGGAGGAGGAGGGAGGAGAGGGTGGTGATCGGAGCAGACCTGAACAGACATGTTGGTGAAGGAAACAGAAGAGATGAGGAAGGGTAGGTTTGGTGTTAAATAAAAGGAACTAAGAAGGCAGCAACTCTAAATTCTCCCTCTTGCAGTTCCAGTTCTCACCTAAAGATGGCTCTGTTGAGGTAGTCGGCGTGCGTGCGGTGAATGGCATCCAGGTCGTTGGCAGCAGCCAGCTTAGCTGTGAACTCGGTCCAGGACACTTGGAGGATCTGGTTGGCGATGTAACCCTGAATGACTTTGACAAAATGCTGCATCTCGTGGCGGTACAGCTGCAGCTGGCGGAACTGGACCGAGCGACCTGCACCTCTCACCAGCGCTGAGGGACACAGGAAAGAGATGGAGATAAAATTAGTGCTGAGTGGGGGTGAAAAAAATGCTGCTCACAGACGTAATGATTTTAATCTTGTATTTAAAAAAAAGAAAGCTGACTCAGAAGTCGTAACACTCACCTCGGCTTTATTTTTACTTAAAAATGATCATAGGTTGTTTTAGATCTTTGTTTACATTTTTCTATGTAAACATTTAAAGTGTGTTGTAGTATCCTAAGTTTTTATCATTAACGCCTGCCACCAAAAATGAAGACAAAATAGTTTTTGCCTTTATCCAAATGTTTGTAGCGTTAGCAAAAAATATATATATAGGGGTGCATAAAAATATCAATTCATCAATGTGTTGCAATACATGTTTATCCAATTCAATACCAATTCAGAAAATCCTCAGATTCAATTCTATGCCCTGGCCAGTTTGTCATGTTTTTATGTTTTCACTCCATATTTAGAACAAGTGTATTATTGCAGTCTGCTTTATTTTTAGACATTTTTTAAAAGGGGCAATATCATGTAAAATCAACTTTTTTGAGTTTTATATCATGTTATAATGTTATACTCTAATAAAAACATGAGAAATCCTGCAGTGTTTTTAGGAAGCCATGCTGAGGAGCAAAACAACAGCTGGGGTCTAGAAACGCCTTTTGGTACCAGAAACGCCCCTGGGACGTGTCTTTAAGCCGAACTTTCTCATGGCAGAGCGCACCCCCTCCCCACTGCCCACATACCCCACCCATGACTCCTGCAGGCTCTCAGGTGAAAGTGAAAGTGAAAGTTAACTGTCTGCTGAGCTCTCAACATTAGTTCTCACTCAGTGAAGCTCTTTTCAGATTAAAAATACCTTTGAGGGAATGCATTTTCAGATGCCAAGTAAACTGCATCATAGCGCAACCCCCCACCCCCCCATAACCCCGCGCTGAAATGGGTGGGACAGAAGCTGAAGGTGGTTCTTAAAGAGACAAGAGGCCAATTTCAAGGTGTTTAGAAGAGGAAGTGATGAGAAGATAAGTTTATTTTCTATTTAAACATAAAAACAGCATTTTAATAACAGCTAAAGGTGACATAGATACTTCATTATGGTATAGTATTTAAATATATGCCTGAGGAACACATAATATAGGCCCTTTAAAAAAGTTGGTGTATAAAATTTGTGTTAATTTGGGCAAGAAATTAATTATCCACAGGGACTCTAATGAATTGTTTGTGTACTTTTTATTATTTAATTGATATTGTCGCATTTAAAACTATATAGAATTGAAATCAAATTTAGGTTGATATCATATCAAAGATGAGTAGGACCTCATGCTGGTTTTGTTTTCATTTTAAGGTTTGAGTCTGTAAAACGACTATTATTGTTTGAATTTATTCTGGGGGGAAAATGGTTAGTGTAATTAGATTTTTTTCTTCTCTCTGCTTCCTTTTGTTTTGTTTTTCTTTAATGTATACAGATTTTACTTTTGTTTGTTATCATGAATAAATAAATGAAAAAAAATCTAATTGAAGTGAGGTTGTGAATACCTAACCCAACATAAACCACTGGATGGATTTTAATTAAACTCAAAGTAATAAGAGCAAATGCCAGGTTAACTAGCTAAAATTTAATGTAGTAGCTGAGAGTTATTCCCAACTCATACTTTGAGTGCTAACAGACATTTACAAGGTTTGACCAACATGACTAAAAGTTCTATCTTCTTCATATAAAAGATCAGGTTAAATCTCTGGCTTGAATGGTGACATGGTGTATGCAGTCCTTCAAGGAATACTTGGACTTTAATTAAGTGGCTTTGTTTTCCCGTCTCTTTAGTGGATCCAAAATATAACCTGTACAAAAGCTGTCATGGATCAATAATCTCAAACCCAGTGAAGCACGTCGCTTTACAACAATCCCAGTGGCCCGATTTGTGTTTTGTATAAATAAATCATAGAAGAATTCCAGCATTCCTCCCTATAAATATTTTATGACCGGTGAACGTACAAAGGGATAAATATTATGCATTCCTCTGCCTTCTCCGAGGTAAGCTGGAGTCCGAGCTGAGGTCTTATCAGCAGCCCCCCCTTCTCCTCACCTGTTCTCTTCAGGTGAAACCAAACATCCCTGAGGCTCCACACCATGTGTTTGAGCTGCAGCAGGAAGGAAAACAAGCGGTTGTACTTGTTCATGCAGCTGTCTGTGATGATGATATTCAGCGGCCAGTCCACCTGCGGGGGGAGACGTGAAGCAAAGGTAAATAAAAACAACAAAGATGTAAAATAGAGAGAAAATCTTGTGAAGAGGACAGAAATCACAGGGAGGTGGAATGGGAGTAGAGGATGGGTTAAAAAAACAGGTAGAAGGAGAGTGATGAATTGACTTGAGGAGAAGGGAGAAAGGTGTGAATCGGCAGACGCTGATAAGGAAGGTGAGAGGATTGTGAGGGGGATGTGTAGGTGAGAGATGAGGGGTAGAGGTGGAAGAGGAAAAGGAGGTGGGAAAATATTAACAACATAAAGAAGCAAAAACATGTGACGCCGGTGTTCAAGATAAGGAGAAGCAGGAGGTAAGGAAAGGCACACGTTGGAGATTCAGCAGCTGCAGATTATTATTATTAGAGAGGACAGTTTCTCTGCATGTCACCACAAATACACAAGTCCAATCGGAATGTGATGCTGAACTAGTTAAATGTGTAAAAAGAGTAGGGTTGGGCAATATTGGCCAAAAAAAATCATCATCATGGTTATTTGTGGCACTCCCTGGACGAGCCGACACATCCCATCATGACTGATTTAAATCGCTATAGTGGGAAATATACCACCTCTCTGAGAATCTGTTTCAATTTGTGTCAAAAGTAGAGACTTCAAACTATACACCTTTAAATTGTGTTGATTGGCCAAGTAAAACCAGAGTTATGATAAATTATTTACAGCAATTAAAAAAAAGAAGTTTGTCCTTATGGGAGGCAGTGAAAGAGTTCACCCTTTGGTCTCACCTCGAACCCCACCAAACAAACATAAAAGACCCGACCTCCTTTCTGACTGAGTCCTCTGGATTTTGTTAGTTAGTGTGTAGTTTAGTGTGTTTAGTCAGTTTTACTGCGTTTGAATCAAAACAATGAGGTGATTTTTGAACATGGAGCTGCAGCAACAGATCAACCAATTAGAACCTTTTCAGAGATGGGAGGGAAGCTCAAAGACAGATCGAGGAAAAAAAACTTAAGTCTGAGTCAGAGTGGGGACTCTGATGAGGAAGTAGGTGATCCATTATTATGTTTAGAAGAAGAGAAGAGCACTGAGTGGTCTGGCATAGAGGACCGGGGATTTGGAAGGTAGTCCCGCTCCGCATCACTAATCGTATTATTCACCGAGTGCAAACACTGCAAATTTTGTCCATCTAACCAAGTCTTACAACCTTATGTCCAGCTAAAAAGTATTTTTGATCTTGTTTTGAAACAGATAGAGCAGGATGTGTTTGATTATTAATCTTCTAAGCCTGGAAATTGTCCTTATTTCAAGAAGTCTTAAAAAGTGCAAATGTCTTACCCCCAATTTACACTACTTGTGTTCCGGCTCCGCTCCGGTCCGACCTCCGCAGAAAATACACCCCCATTATAATCAATGAGAGTGTTTACACTGGCTGCGCACGGCGGCAGTGAGCGGACGGCGATCCGTCAAAATTAGAACAGATCCTATTTTTGACAGATGCTGGAGCTGCGCAGGAGTCAGTTTTTAAAGATTACGTCGCACCAACAGGAAAAGAAACAAGCACAACATCTGTATTTTCAAAATAAGACACTATTAGGAGGGATAATTTGTCGAAATGTCAAAATTGCAGCTATATTAATAAATATACGGATATATTTCTACACAAATGCTGACAGAATGTATCGTTCTGTTTGGGAAGCAGATGGAAACGTAGCATGAAGCTTTGTGTACACACGATACACATGGATTTTATTTTGAAATCAGAAGTTTCAGAAAGCCGACAGCGAGACAGTTTCAACACAGATATGAAAAGCCTTTATATCAATGTTTCAGCTGTGTTTGGAGTTTGTCTTTCACAGAATTAGTTATTTTTTGCTGTGACTTCCACACTTATCACTGAATTTATCGTGCGATCTCCTTCCTCCACACTCTCTGTCGGACCGGAGCGGAGCAGAGGCTGTATAAATTGAGACTTACTGAAGTGGCAGATTATTTCACTTACTTTGAGAAAATTCAGACTATAATTTAATACAGCGGTTCCCCCAGGGGAGGCGTCAGAGAGCATGAGGCTGCCCATAGCCTTGTGAAAATACAAATTTATTGTTTGTACATAAAAATCAACAAAACAAGTCGATTTAAATAATTAAAACTCTGTATAACTCTGTTAATTGTTTTTCGATTTGCAAATAAAAACGTGTAATTATTATTCTTTTATTTGATAAAGTGATATAAGTTTTATGCATCTTTGGTAGAGGTGGGGTGTTGGATTGACTCCATCCACTAGGGGCTCTACTTTTGTTCTGAAGGGGGTTGTGTGAAACCAGAAGTAAAAATCGCCAAACTGACTTTAAACAAAGCAAATATCTAATAAAAATTTAGGAAAACTTCTACATTTACAGTTAAATAAGTTGCCTAACATGGTAAGTTGTTTGTTATTGCAAAATTAAACATCTTTGTAACTGTATAGCTTAATTTTTGTGTTGCAAACAATCAATAAAATGTTTTGGCGAGGTTAACATCATGCTAGTAATTTTCTGTGGTGTTTAGACTGTATATCAGCACGCTGGCTTGTAAGTAAGAAAGGGAGGGTTTGAGGAAAATAGGTTGGGAACCACTGATCTAGTGTTTTAAAACAGATTTTTAGATGGCTAATTTTTGCCGTGAAATATTAACCTGAAAATTAATTGCACACAACACGATTTTGCCCAATCCTAAATACGTGCAGAGCAATTTGTCAAAAATGACGGTCACATTTAAGCGGCTCCTCGTGCCGAGACGAGCACTACTGTGAACTTGAAAAGTCCTCACCTTGTAGCGCAGCTCCAGACAATTGAGGGAGTCTGGGGCGTGCGGGTGGAAGGTTTCCGGGAGGAAGCGGAGTGCGAAGGTGAAGTTAGAAGCTAAAGGGGTGTCTCCGTGTAAGCTGTACTGCAAAGCCTTACTGAGGATGGAGTTCAGCACCAGGGGGGTCAGCAGCTCTCCTGGAGTCTGGCCACTGCCCATCTTTGAGGGAAAAAAACAAACAAACATCAAAATACATAAGTCTAACATGATCCTTTTACTAATAAATATGCTGTTGGAGCTTAAGAAAGTGTTTGGTTTATAAAAGCACAACTGGCAGTTGATTACAGGATCAGCTTCCTGTGTGGCTGAAGGTGTGCCAATCAGTGAAATTAGTGCTTTGGCTGCATAAACAACACCTTCTGTCTCATGGGCCTCCAGAGACAGATGTACATGAATGTTTCTGCAGAACAGCTCTGAGGTGTTAGTGAAGGCTGTGCTTGTTATTTTGTGACAGGAAGCTTCAGTCTGGCAGTGAAATCAGATATAAAAGGTTCCCAATTATTAACACGGCTTCAACCTACAGTACTTCTTTTCATGTGTGATCTTGACTTCATAAGCCACAAAAAAAGGGACTGATTAAATTAACTGCTCAGTTGTCTTTGTAAATGTCACAAAGACAATTTGTCTCGAGTCAATGAGAATGATCCAACTACAAAACGTAAAGGCTAAAAAATGAACATGAATAAAATTACACAACAGGTGTTTTCAGATCAAACTGAATAGACAGTTTTTAACTAAGCCTTACTGAGGAATTTCAAGATGATTCAAAGCTGTGCACTCAAAACCTCAAAAACAGATTGTACAGTATCAATTATGTTTCTGGGTTCAAGGTTTACAGCAGCGTTAAAAAGTCAAAGTTTCAATCGTTTAAATGCTTTTAAATGTAAAAACAAACAAACAAAAAAAACAAAAAACAAATGCAGGGCAATGTTTTTGTTTCTCTTGAGACTGGACTTGTTGCTCTGAACCATCCTGTCGTAAACAGAGGAGTAATACCAGGATTTTAGCTTGTGTCCATTTTTTAATGTAATTTTTTGTACATTTCATTTAATGTTTTTATTTTTGACAAAAAAATGTTATTTTAAAGGAGAGATTATGTATTTTTCAGAGAGCGTTGACAGAAAGGAGAAGGTAGAAATGACTCAGCCTGTAACTGAAAATGTGGATGGAGGACAACAGAGCTGTGTCATGGAAGAAGAACCTCAGCTTAGCCTGTTAGCTTTAGTGTTAGCCCCGATGCTATCACCATATATATGTATTAGCTCAGCGCTACACATTCTCCTCTCATCACTGATGTCCTCCATCCACATGACAGAGAGAGGAACACAAAAATGACTCAGCCTGCAACTGAAAATATGGACGGAGGACCTCAGCTTAGCTTGTTTGTCACGCTAGCACTGAGCTAATACATACAGCATAAGGCAATATAGCGTCAGCACTAGCGCAAAGGCTAACATGCTAAGCTGAGGTTCTTCTTCCATGAAGCAGCTCTGTTGTCCTCCATCTATATTTTCAGTTACAGGCTGAGTCATTTCTACCTTCTCCTCTCTGTCAACGCTCTCTGGTTTCATTTAAAAGAGTCGATCGTCAGATATTGTCCAAGATTAACCTTCAGGGTGGATATAGCTCGCTCACATCGAGGACCTATCCACGTCATCATTTACCCAGAATGCTTTGTGTGTAAATAAAATGGCTCAGTCTGTGTTAAAAATATATTTTTAAAAATTTACAAAACTACACAGCCTACAGTATTTTAACAGTCTTTATTTTACAGTTAAAATATATGTTTATTAAAATAAGTCTAATGTTACAACTAATCAGGGATCCCTTTAATGTAAACAACTTGAAATTGGCCTCTGTCTCTTTAAGAATGTCCTACCATTTCCAACACTCCCTATTCCACACGTCATCATAACAATGCTTCATGCCGTTTACAACCTTCGGTAGGAGATTTGTGTTTTGTTGTTTAAGAAAAGCACCATTATATTATATCGGTTTTGGAAAATGGCAACTCAGGATATCATTGAACCTTACCCCTAATTTACATCACTTGCGTTCCGTCTCCGCTCTGCTCCGACCTCCGCAGCAAATACGCACCCACTATAATCAATGAAAGTGTTTACACTGGCTGCGCACGGCTGTGCAGGGCAGCGGTGAGCAGACAGCGATCCGTCAAAATTAGAACAGATCCTATTTTTGCCAGACGACGGAGTCAATTTTTAAAGATTACGTCGCACCAACAAGAAAAGAAACGAGCACAACATCCGTATTTTCAAAATAAGACACTATTCTGCAAAATAATTTGTCGGAATAATGTCGAAATTGCAGCTATATTAATAAATACACGGATATATTTCTACACAAATGCTGTCAGAATGTATTGTTCTGTTTGGTAAGCAGATGGAAACATGTAGCATGAAGCATATGTGTACACACACGATACACGTGGATTTTATTTTGAAATTAAAAGTTTCATAAAGCCAACAGCGGGACAATTTCAACCATAGCTACCAAAAGCCTTTATGTCAATGTTTTCAGCTGTGTTTAGAGTTCATCTTTGACAGAATTATTTTTTGCTGTGACTTCCACATTTATCACTGAATTTATCGCGCGATCTGCTTCCTGCACGTCCGTCGGACCGGAGCAGAGGTAGTATAAACTGGACTTGAAACGGTGCAGCTGCGACCTGCGCAGCGGAGACGAAACGCAAGTTATGTAAATCCGGGGTTACTCGAATGATCCCAGCTTGGATCCAGAAAATACGTTTTCTGAAGAACAGGGGCGAGCTCGGCTGGGGACAGAGCTCCAGGGAGGAGCTTTGTGTAAATAGGCAGTGCTTTGTACCAGCAAGCATTTAGGCAGCTCCACATGGCTACCACAGGATATTCAAGGATTTCTCAAACGTGCATGAATGAGTCCTGGGTATATTTTTGATTAGGGAATGACACAGTATGATATAAAGCCCAAAAAAAGTCAATTTTATAAAATACCCCACCTTGTTATGTAAACACTTCTGTTGTTCGCCCCTTTTATCATTACTTTATAAATCTTGTACAATATTTTAAAATGTTACTTGTAACTATTATTTTATATTCATTAAAAATTTAAAGAAGATTTTTTCAATGAAAGCTTCAAAATTTTATATCTATAATATCGACCTCATAAAAATGTGATGCAATCATTTCAGGCTGCAAGGATCATAATAAAAGTGATAAATATGGGAGGAACAAACTGAAAACAGTGTTTCCTCCTGAGTGCACTAAACTTGAATAAAGGCCTTCTGAATGTGCACAGTGACAGCATCGTGAAAAGACATCACCTTCTCAAAGATCAGATCACTGAGGGACTGTGCAAACTCGCCGTCCTCCATCAGCAGGAAGTGACGCAGCACCTCAAAGTGTCTTTCCACGCCTAACTCCACAAAGAAGTAATCCACCACAGCCTTGTTCACCAAAGACACGCTGGGAATGAAAGGAGAGCAGAGACAAACTTAAGTGTTGACACCTGAACCTGGTACGAAGAATCTAACCTTAAAAAATAGCTACACCTAAAAATAAATTGACCACACTGTGTGAAAAAAACATACACCCACACAAACGGTTAAACAACCTGCTGTGCTAAATCAAAGGCAAAAACAAGTCTATAATGGAGTTTAATTTAAAAAAAAGAAACTTCCATAAGGTAAACTAAAGATGAAAACTGCAGAATATGCACCAACTGCAACTTAAGTGGCCTAAAGTGGAAGAAAACAAGATAAGTAAAATGTGTTTTTACTCAAATATAGTATTGTGCTGAGAAAAGAAGTGTCTAACACACAAAACCGAGTATCTCCTCACGCAGCGCTCTTTTCAACAGACACTCACTGTGTGATGAGAGGGGCCGTGACAGAGTGTTTCATCAGCACAGGCAGGGAAACCATCTCACTGAGCCGGACAGCTGTGGTGTCTGTTGCTCTGCGGAGTGTGGGGTCCATGGGAAGGCCCCAGGGGCCCCGAGTTACCTGCTTCAGCAGCTGACACTCAGGCGACGAGGCTGTGTGCGAGGAAGATGACAGTCAGGAACGTCGGTGTGGAAATGGCACTCACAGAACTGCAGGGAGCTGCTTTACATAACGGCTACAGCAATTTTAAAACGAAAACAGTTGAACACTATCAATCAAAACAAGACATCTATATTTTAAACTCAAAACTGTTTATTATTTATTTATGTATGCATTTATTTATTTTGGGGGGTGCAAAACCAATAATACTTGTTAGTTGCTGTAATAAAACTGAAAAAAATGTATTTTATTTTGAAAGATTAGGGCAGTAAGCTGGCCTAATTGTTTTGTCCGTCTACATTTTATAAAACACAGGCTAAATGATTCTGGTTTCTGACTTTAATCAGTCGTGTGGAAGTTTTATTTGGTTGAGCTGGATGCTGATTGATTTATGCATGAATACTCGCTGCATGGATGAACTACAGAGTGAAAAAGACAGGGTTCGAATCTAACGAGCCATGATACCCCCTCCTCCTCACCAGCCAAACACAAATTAGTTTTTTGTAAACTATTACTGCTATTTATTCACGTGAAGTAAATATTCCACACCATGGACTAGAAACACTCCTGATAATGTATAACAGCTTGTTTTAATTTATATAAAAATATTACAGAACAGATATGTCATTTTTTGATAGTTTCATCCCAGATTTATTTGCATTTCAATTAAGGACAATAACCCTTAAAAAGAGGCTAAAAACATAATTTCTAGAGCAGTAGGTTAATAACTGTTACAAAACTTTCAAAATGGTCAATCTTGTGTAAATATTGCTTCAAAAATACCATTTTAAAATTCGCTTTAGGTTTGTTTTTAGAGACAAATACAATTAATGTGATAAAATAGTAAACATGTAGCTTGTAGATGAATTTTAATTAATTGCACTTATTGCAACTTGTAAAATAAAACTGGCCTATCCCTCTTAACTTCATTTGGTGTCATTTCTATTTTAATGTATTATTTTTGTTCTTATCTTTACAATAATTTTGACACAATTTTTCAGTGACTTATGTTTCTTGCTGTACAGTCTTTGAGTGTCCTGAAGGTGCTTCTTAAATAAAAATGCATTATTATTATTATTATTATTATTATTATTATTATTATTATTATTATTATTATTATTATTATTATTATTATTATTATTATTAAAACAGCAAAAAGTTCGTCCAGAACTTTATCAAATGGTACAGTTTGAAAGATTTTTTTTCAGTAGATATACTGATATGTAGTTCTGAAATATGTGTACTGTACACTAATTGTAAACAAAGAACTCGGTTCTGCCAAAAAAATGGAAGCTTGAGTCACATGACTGACCTACATTAGGCTGGTCGTAGTCTGTGTTGATAAACAAATATGCAAGAATTAAGTGTAGAATCTCTAAGATGACAGTTAGTTTGAGGCGTAAGTGTTATAAACTGCTAAAAACAACGAATAAGACACTAATCCAAGCTCTCAGGTGGCTCTTCCACAGATATCTCCATCGTTAACCTACTTTCAGTCTCTTCGGCTGTTTCCACAGGTGAACAAACACATGTGGTAGCTGGCAGTCATGCACAGAATTTTGTGAAAATGTTTTAGTTTAAGGACACATGAAGTAACATTGTAAGAAAATAATCTACAGATTTGTTTTGATTTTTTATTTTATTTTTTACGGTCTTCCTGATGTTGCGATGAGTACCTTTAAGTGTTAGATTCTAACTTCGGTTATCCAGCTGCATTCATTTTCATCGCTTTACTTGTAATATTACATGATTTAACTTCTTGTATAAATGTTTTGTTTCGGCACAACAGCACCTGGTTGTTTAAGGAACATTGCTCCACTGGGAGAATAAAGGTGGCTCTACTTTAATGATCCTTTTTATCGTCTCCTTACAGCAGCTACAAGATGTGTTGAATCAAAGCCGACTGCTCAGTTTTATTAGGTACAAAACTTCTGCATCACCTGTTCACATAAATCCTGTAAAGGGCTGTTAGGTTAGAGCCATTATTACTTTTTTTCACTGACCCATCAGGTTGTAGCAGTCTTCGTAGTGCTCCACTTGGTACTGGGCAGATAAAGCCAGGAGGTATTCCTGTTCTGATTTTTCTTCAGGAGACAAAGCTAAACCAGACATCCAGGTCCCCGACCCCTCAATATTCTGCTCAAGGAAGCTGTTTGACATAAAACCTGCAGAGGAACATAAAAATACAGCTTTTAATATTTATAGGAAAAATAAATTAAATTTTCATTTGATAGTGACATTTTGATGCAATGGCAGCTGTAAACTCGTGAGTCTTGTTAAAAAATATTACAGTGAAAAGCTTCACTTTTGGATTAAAAAATAAGCAGGAACTTGTTTGAAAAATGTTAATGAGGCATTTTCAAGTAAAAGTATAGAATGAAACACATAAAACTTAGTTTTCTATTCACTTTTTCACTTCTCATTTACTTTTATTCTTGGACAAAATTTATTAACTACCATATTTAGCCTTACTTAAACTTTACTAAATGTTTAATTAACCTTGAAAAACATCATAAATTAGGGATGATTCATATTTAATGATCTGTAAATTAACACGTATTAATGCTTTACCAACGAAGGCTAATCACTTCCAAAACAAACATAGTTTATTCATGCTTATAACTCATGAATTAACTAGTCTATATAAACTGTGCGTGTACATGTAAGTAAATACTCGTGTAAATGTACTTTACATCATGTGTTAGGTACATTTTAATAGTTAGAGAACATTTGAATTGAGTACCTGCTAATGCTGAAATGCATCAATAATTAAGACAACTGCTTTAAGTTAAGTCTTTTTTTGAACCTTATAAAGTGAAAACTATGTTTTTTAAAATAGTATTGTAGAAAAACCCTGAAGGGCCTCAAGTTCCTTTTCACCTGTGGAAATCAGATTGAAATCCTAATCAATTCAAACAATGTCTAGCTATTAATACATGCCTAACACATGGTGTGAAAGTACATTTATATGAGCATATACTATGTACACACAGTATTCTATATATTGTGTGTACAGACATGTACACACAGTATTTAGAATAGTTAATTTATAGTTATTAAAGCATGAATGAGTATGTTGATTTTGGAAGTAATTAGTTTTTATAGGCAAAGCAGTAATCAATTTACAGCTTATTAAGTATTAATCATTTTTAATTAATGATGCTTTCAAGGTTAACTGACAATTAGGTAAGGCTAAATAAAGGTGTAGTTATTATAACTTGGCTTTTTCCTGCTCTTTAATCTATTTATTTTATTATTTATATTGTAAAATAAAAGTATTTCATGTGTTTAAAAGAAAGCGAGCTCATTGATCAGGATGGTTTCTAACAATATGCGGTGTAGGAGTGTTAGTGTTTTGTACCTGTGCCGTTCTCATCTGCTCTCTTTTGATTTGGACCGTCTTTCCCTTTCACCACACACCCAACTCCTAATGTAGAATCAGAGGAGTGACCGTAAGAGCTGCCTGGTAAAGCAGAGGGTGGCGGCTCTGACCCCAACACCACACATCCAACTCCCATAGCTGAATCAGATGAATGACCATAGCTGCTGCCCGGCAGTGGTGATGGGAGCGGTTCAGCTGTAGAAACAACGCACCCGATGCCTAAATGTGAGTCTGACGAGTGACCGTGGGTGCTGCCAGGTAAGGGAGAACGCTTGGGCTCATCTCCTTGGACTACACATCCAACACCTAACGTCGAGTCTGAGGAGTGTCCGTATGAGCTTCCGGGCAAAGCGGATGAGGGCGGTTCTGTTCCGGACACCACACACCCTGGCTGGAGGATGCAGTCTGAGGCATGGCCATGTTTGCTCCAACGTGGTCTTGATTCAGCTACGTTGGACACAAACTCGCCCACTTTTATGTTAGCATCAGAGGAGTGTCCGTGGCTGCTGAGAGCGGGACGTGGCGAGACAAAGTCTGAAACGTTCTCCCCGACTTTTATGTGAGAATCCGAGCTGTGACCGTGAACGCTCGGCGACGGCAGAGGCACCGTTACGTCGGAGACGAGCTCGCCGACTTTGATGTGAGCGTCTGAGACGTGGCCGTGGATGTTTTGAGAAGGAACTGGATGGATAAAATCAGAAATATTTGTCCCAATTTTGATGTGGGTATCAGAAGAGTGACCGTAAGGACTAGAAGCCGGCGTAAGATCATCAACGTCCGAAACATAATCACCTAACTTGAAGTGCGAGTCGGAGGCGTGCCCATGAATGTTTGGGGAGGGTAGTGGAGCAGTTACCTCAGACACATACTGTCCAACCTTTATGTGAGCATCAGAGGAATGCACATGGGTGCTGAGTGGGGGCTGAGAAACCTCTGAAACCAGTCCTCCAACCTTGATGCAGGCAGTTGAGACAGGACTCTGAATATCAGAGAAAAAAACATCATCAGGTTTGTCACGAGCAACTGAGCTGCAGTCTTGAGTTGTTGTTTCTGCTGGCTTTATTTCATCAGAAAAACTTGGTTTTTCATATTTACTTTGACCTGTGACATTTTCTGCTGTTGTGGGAGTTGACACCACCACAGCCACACCTTCTATTTTAGACATGACAGATTCTTGTCCAGTATCTTGTTTTGTTACAGCCTCCTTTTGATCACAGTTTTTAAATGCAACACTCTCATCTTCTTGCTGAATAAAAGGTTGTTTGCAAACACTTCTTCCAAATAAAATGGGGTTTTGGGTCAACTCAGACTGAACTGGTGGTCCCCATCGAGGTCTGGGCTGAACTGTGGCTTGTCCAGCAATATCCTGGTGCGGACTAAAGGGGGCACTGAAGTCATATTCTACAAGTTGTGAAGCAGGACGGGCTTCAGGCAGGTCAGAGCCAATCTCCTCTAGGGCTTTATCCACTTGCTGACTGTCAGGCTTTGGTGATTTCAGAAGGTCACTGATGTCAATGTCCTCGGAGATGAGAGAAGACTTTACTGTGGATGGATCCTGTGCTGGGGACTCGGCTTTCGATGCTAGAGTCTCAGCTGACTGCTCCTAAGAGAGAAATGTGTGCAAACAGGGAGCAATAATTTACCAACATTACTAGGATATACATTAACACAGCATATAGCAAAGAAATAAAATTGTGATTAACAGAATAAGCAGGTTATTACAAGTGTTTGTTGTGATGAGAGAGCAGCTGGTAACACATCCATGGGAGATCTCTCCTGGCCTGGTGGATATTTCTCCAGTAAATCCTGCAAAGCAGTCACACAAGCTTCAGTTAAAGAAAATAAAACATGGAATAAAACACAATGCCTTATTCATTACTCAAAATAGCTTGTTTAGCAGCAAAATATAAGACCTACAAAGATCATTTTCATAAACCTTGGCAGTATGGTGCAGCAAGGGCAAAGGATGAACATACTACATGTTGGTGACTTAGATCAATTTCTTTAAAAATCACAAGATATGAAATCAGGCTTGGTGGAAGATTAGCTGTCCAAGTTTATCAGCCTTGTGTGTGTGTATTCATCACAAACCTGAATTTTCTGCCTGTCAAGCATGAAGAACTGAGTGCGGGCTTCGTGGAGTCTCATTCTCTGCACTCTCCACATGGCTTGTCTCTCTCTGCGCGCTGCTTCCTCTGACAAACGGCTGTACTGAGCAATCAGCTCCTTCCTACAATACAAGATCAAAATGGAGATGTGCATTATGTCAGGTGAAGGTTTTGTCCAATCCTGGTCCTCAAGGGCCACGATCCTGCCTGTTTTAGAGGATTCTCTGTTCCAACACACAAATGATTAACATTCAGAGAATTTAAGAAAATGTTTACTACAGCTAATTGACAGAGGAAACCTGAATGATTATGTCGCAGTCAATTTTATAGATACTGACCTAAAATTTCGTGTGGTGGTAGCTTATTCTGAGCATAACATAATTTACAACAGAAGTCCCCAACCATGGTACTCATGGCCCATTGTTCAGCAAGTTTTAGCCATTTCCCAGTTTCAACACAGCCGATTCAAATAATTAAATTCAGTGGTGGGCAAAGCTAGAGGAACTATAATCTTGATGAGTGGTTTAGTATTTGCAATAATTTTATAAATATTAACAGACTTAACATGCACTAAATTAATACTGTTTATATTCTTTACAGCTAAAATGTTATAATATGCATCACCACATCCTTGATATATTCAATTATATTGACTTTCACATACTGCAGTGACAATCTCAATAAAGCTGGGCTGTAAATATAGCCTTATTACACGGTCACTGCCATGTGCCACACAATGACACCATCCCTGAGCTGAGGACATGTATGTTCACGTTCACTCTCTTAACTACATTCCAGATTCCTCTGACTCATGGTTTCAGTTTACAGGCAAAAACAGAGATTTTAATATAGATTTTGAACAAAAACTGATCAAGAATTTGTCAAGAAAAACTCAAATTTGCACTGAAAATCTTTGTAAAAGTCAGAAAAAATTGTCTTCCCACCATCCTTTGAAGCTGGGACATAATTCAGTCAAAGAAACTGTTGCAAAATTTAAAAAAGCGAAAATGAAGACACATCTTTGCTTTAATCTGGGGCATACAAATATACAGTATTTTTGTTTTTGTGTTAAGAGTGTTTAAGTATAAGAAATGCAGTTTCACATGCTGTATCTTTTCAATGCCTTTTTCCCCCTCCCCTTTTCTTGTCAGATGTAGCTCCGCCTCCTGGTTTTATCATAAGACATGGCAGCTGTTACCCAGCATGTAATGCAGAGTGTAGTAGCTCCCCATTCTCCAGTTTTTCTAATTTCTTTTATCTGTGATCTATAAAGCATTTTGAGTTGTGCTGACTTATGTTTGTCACATTACACGTTTAGGTTTGGCTTAGTTATTGACTGTAAAACTGCACCATGACTGAAAGGGAAATAGAGATGGGATCTGAACGCCAGAGAGAGGTATGTTTAAGACAAAACCTCACACTATTCTCGTTGCCACATGGTAGAATAGAAGTTAATATGTTAAATATTAGCAGTTTAGTTTTACCTTCTGCCATTTTTTAATCAATTTAGCTTTCTATCATTAGCAGAGCTAAACATTTTGTATAGTGGTTTAGATGTTAGCAAAGCTGTTATTTTGGTTAGCTGTGTCCACCATTACGCACTCTAGCTATAATAAATTTCAGCAGAAGCCTGTCACTGACTCATTAATTTCAGTCAGGTGTGTTGAAGCAGGAAAACATCTAAAGCACCCAGGATATTGGGCCACAAGGGTTGGAGACCTCTGTTTTACATGATTTGACCAAAACAGCTTGGTCATTTTTCATCATCAGATCTGAGTTAAAAACTTTGGCATGAAAGGAAAAAGACAAAATGCATTCCTTTAAGTACTTATGGGTGAGGTTTTAATAGGATCTCAGCCATTTTTAATGGAAGACTAATTATTAAGGCTTGAAAAATATGAAACCTTCACTAGACCTGTAAAAATCCTGACTTTTTTTTTGCACATTCCAAACAAATTAGATGATTAAAGCTTGAATTCTGGGAAGATTTCATCAAGCAGGAGTAGTGCAGGATGTGAACTGTTTGAAAAGCTGCAGATGGCAGGTGCTTTCTTCAGCGTTGGCACACTCAGATCCCCAACATGTCGTCAGACTGAATAACAGCTCTCTGCGTGCATTTCAAACTCTGATAGCATTTGCTCACGCTGCGGAATCACCGCTTATTCCAACTGTACGAAAATGTGGCATAGGTCCATCCACCAACATATGCCACACTGTGGAAAATTCTGTCTAGGCACTTTGAACATATATTGTATATCAAATCAAATCTGAATGTGGACTGTTGCGACTCAGAAGCTGTCAAACCTGGCTCTCTGCTCCAGCTGCTCCTCCAGGGCTTGTAGTCTCTTTTCTCTGTCTCTTAGCTCTCTGGCAAAGCTGAAGTCATCCTCCTCCTGCTTCTTCATGGCTGCACTTCTCCACTGATCCCAAAATACCCAAACACATACAGAACAGACAATACTACATTTAGCTTAGGAAAAATAATTAAAATTACAAAACGAATTTTTAAACATCCTTTATATTGTTTACAAAAGAAGAGTTAGAACTGTCTGAAATGGGCAATGTGCAGAAAGCAGGGATATTTGAGTCAATGTGATCTGCTCTGTAATGAACCAAATTAGTAAGGTTGAAGGGTTATGATCTGTTTGAAAGAATATATAAGTTACACACAGACTTTGCAAAATTAACCCAGTGGCCATCGGGTGGAAAAGTCATCTAAAAATCTCTGCAGTTAAAACACTGTTTACTGATAAGTAGGGCTGCAACAATTAATCAACGTAATCAGCAATGCCTATTATAAAAAGTAAGTCGACACAGAATTTTTGTGTTGACTCTTTGTATTATTTAATCATGTAAATTATCATTTACACTTGATAAGAAACTATGTTGTGCAACACTTTTCACTGATTTGTCAAAAGCATTTGACACAGTTGACCATGACATTTTAAAACTTAAGCTTCTGTCTGAGAAAGCAGTGGCTTGGTTCTCAAACTACCTCAATAACAGATCTCAATGTGTAAATTATGATGGTCTTTGTTCAGAACATGCCACTGTATATAAACGGGTACCACAGGATTCTGTATTAGGTCCTCTTTTATTCATTATTTATATTAATGATCTGGGTCTAAATGTGTCAGATGCTGGTTTGCACGTTTATGCTGATGATACAGTTACTGCTGTGGATCAACGCTTGTTCAGGCCATTGAATCATTGTAGAAAGCGTTCGATACCATCCAACATTCATTACTTCAGCTGAAACTTGTCCTTAACGCTAACAAGACAAAGCTTATGTTGTTTTCCAGTGCCAGAAAAAAAGCCTCTTTCGATTCCTTCAGTGACCACACTTGATGTAATTGAAATAGAGCAGGTACATGTGTATAAATATCTGGGAATACTGATTGATGACCCCCTTACTTTTAAGCCCCATGTGGAGAAACTTGTAAAGAGGCTCAGACTAAAACTAGGCTTTTATTTTAGAAATAAGTTGTGCTTTTCTTTTAATGTGAAAAAGTGACTAGTGGAGGCTACCTTTTTACCACTGTTGGATTATGGAGATATTTTGTATATGAACACATCTGCTAAATGTCTTCAAATGATTGACACTGTTTATCACGCCTCTTTGAGGTTCATTACTAACTGTAAGGCATTGACACATCACTGTGAGTTGTACTCAAGGGTAGAATGGACTGCTCTGGCCACCAGAAGGCTCTGCCATTGGTATACATTCATATACAGTATGTGGACTTCTTCCCTCCTACATTTGTACTTTGAAAAAAAAGCACTGTCTCTTACTCCATCTGCTCTCAAGACTTTCTGATGCTTTCTGTTCCATTTGCTTGGACTGAATTGGGAAGAAAGGCTTTTATCCATTCTGCACCTTCTACATGGAATACATTGCAGAAAGACTGGAAACCGTCTGAGTTAATTTCACTGAGTGCTTTTAAATCAAAACTGAAAGGTCTTGAAACTGACCCCATAACTTGCACTTGTTGTTTTTAATTTGTTTTAATTTAAATCTTTTAACATTTTTCTATTTGATGTTTTTAATTTTGATTTAAGATGTGAAACTATGTGTTGCATTTGCTGCTGCTGCTGCCAGTCTTGGCCAGGTCTCCCTTGAAAAGAGGTTTTTAATCTTAATGGGACTTCCTGGTAAAATAAAGTTTATAAATAAATAATAAATAAGTAAATTTGTTACTGCAATGCAGGAACTGCTGGGGGCAGAATTGCTTCTATTGTCTGATGTGGTTGCATTCTTTACTAATGAAGAACATACTGACCTGCACACTTGATAAAAAAGAAGATGACAGAATGTTGGAACAGAAAGACAGAACAAAACAAACAAAAAAAGACCAAAACTTTTAAAAGAATGGCAACATTTTACTGGAAGTAAAATGCAGACTCTATCAAGCAGAGATGTTATTTGATGGCAGCACAATGGACAAATGAATGCATGAACACCTGAAATGCAACCAAGCTGTAGTCATGATTATCATTCAGCAAGTTAGCTAGAGCGTCAGGTCTTCACTTCCTGTTGTAGCTAACGATCTATAACTTTGTTAGTCTACCTACCAGAAAACATTGTGTCTTGGAAGATGCTTTCTAAGTGCATTTCTGTTATGTTCATGTTAAATAATGTGTTAAGTGCCGTAGTAAATCAAGGAAATCCGGTTTCGTCAAGTGTTCTTACATGAATACCACCATTTTTTCCACATAGTAAACCTCCTCCACTAAACATTAGATGGTTAATCTGTGGGTTGGAGCACGTCAATAATTCAGTTGGGAGATATCTAATCAGTTAAGTGGTTTAATTGACATAAGACAGTGTACTGACAGTGATAAACTGATAGAGTACAGTTGCTTGTTGATTACATGTATTAATGTTAAAAATACATCTGATTGATTTTTAAACTTAAGTTTCAAAATCATGTTTCATGGGTCATTATTTTGATTTGTTATGGAAACTTATGTTAAGGCAGAGAGACTAGATAACAGGGTGACATTCACTGGTATGAGCAGGTCAGATGAGGTGGTGTACCCACACGAAGCATAGATGACCGAAATAATTGTGACTAATCGAAAGAAATAATCGACCGATTAATCATCATTAGTTGCAACACTACTGGTAAACACTTTAATAAACACCTCTTTAAAAATTACCTAATATTTTTTTTACTCTGACGCACTTGTTTAATATTTTCTCACACACTTTTTACAAGTTGCTTCCACTCTTTAACTACCTCTTGCTCCTGTTCCAGGTGCTGTTTCAGTTCTTCAAAGCGCTCCCTTTTCTTGGCCTCCTCAGCTAGACGCAGTGACACCTGGCGCCCTGCAGGAGGTGAGGGAGATAACAGAGGGTTGTTTACCCCGCCACACAGAAAAAGCAGTGCAACAACTCCCATCTCTCTCTTCCTCTAACACGTGCACCACAACCCAAACAACATCGCCATCTGCCACCGAGTCGAATAAGCCAAAACGTGCACAGAGCATCAGACCAAACACTCATCCATCCAATCACCTCCCCTTTCCCAGCGTTCACTGCCATTTTCTGCAGTAAGAAATGATGTGAGGAGTTTGCTAACACGTGTGAATGATAATTAAATTTCACAGCCTATAGTAATGGAAACTGTTCAAATAATTCTTCTATGCAACTGGCCCCTGTGCATCTTCTCTGCTCACCAGAGGGGAGCGGAGGAAGGTTCTTATTGGATACAACAAGAAAGTGTAATTAGTGTTAAACCATTTGTCGAACGTACACTCGGCTGGGTGGGGGTGGGGGGTGGGGGGGTGCAGGAACATCAAGATCTATATAAATATCATTTTCACAGTGTGAGCGTGTTTCTGTGTGTTTAAGTGTGACACTAACCTCGAATGCTCTCCAGGGTTTTTGCTGCGGACTCTCTGACCTGATTGATCAGCTCCTGGCGGGCCTGCTCTGCTCGCAGGGCCTAACAACAGACAGGCAAGAAATCATCATTAACAAAGATTTATTCTCCTGCTCTGTCGCTCACCTCTCCTCTCTCTCCCCACTTTCCTGGCCAGTCACAGATGCCAGCTGCACACACAGCCCAGGCCATGTAAATTAGAGGGCTGTATTACAGCAAGGACAAGCCCCAAGGCAGGCCCCACCATAATGGATCATGTAAGGGTGGGGGGGATTAAATAAAACGTCACAGAAATGTAACACGCGGTATGACTACTTATATTTGCATCATTACTTGCTCCTCCCTGCTGATCGCGCTGTGCTTCGCAATCCTCTCCATGCGCCCGCGATACACGGCGCAGTCTCTCTCAATCTCCTCCACCTCCTGGAGGGAGAAGGTGACAGCGATGCGGGGTACCGGCAGCTCCGACCAGCAGATGTAGTGCTGTGGAAACACATTTGGGAAGAAGTTGGTGCTACCGTTTCAAGTGTTAACTCAGACGACTCATCATGTTGACATCGTGTTTTATAACCTCAAAGTTCATTATATAAACAAAATATGTTGCACCAGCTGTCTCAAAGTGTAACTCTCTTTTACTGCTACGTCTGAAAACAAACTGACTAACAAATATAGCATGAGACAGGGAGCGGATCTTACCAGTGTCATTTAAATGCTGTGGAGAAACCTGTTGTATGTGCTTCAACAGTTTATTAGCTCAGTCAATTTATCAGTTTTATTTTGCTTCAAAAGAGCTATAACACTTGTAGTGTATAAAATGACTTTACTTTTAAGCCATGCATCTATCTATACATGTTATGTGTACATATATATAATATGTAGTATATGTGATATTATTGCATGACATGTACGATGTGTTGGAACATTGTCTAATAGTTTGTGGGTATGTTTGTTTGTATGTATGTAAATATGTATGTGTATATAAGTAGGTGTGTATTCAGACAAAATAAATATATCTTTACAGAATGTAGAAAGAATAATTGGTTGTGTAAAGGGGAAGTGAACGATCTCCAAATTTATTTAAGGGAAATTCATATTTTATCTTTTACATTTTTTTATTGTAAATTTAATTCTGTAGGACCCCAGTACGAATAGGTGTAGTTTTACTGCAGATAATGGGGATCTTAACGAATGATTATAAATAAATACAAAAAATAATTCTTCACAAAACCTAAAGATTGTTGACAAAACACACTTCAATTAAAAAAAGAAAATCAAATTACACTTGCATTGTTATGATAATAATATTCATACACGAGTGTATATTATATATATTATACAAGCCTTCTTTTAGACATGAAAAGAAATGATTATAGCTAAATGTCTTAGAAAACCAAATATCAGAACATACAGCACCAAGGTAAGAACTCAGAAAATCAACAAAAGCCAACATCTGGAAAGGTAAGTACGTAAAGTAAAACTATTCCCTCAAATAAATACAACTATTTCAGATAGAAGCAAGGAACAGTAGATACACTGACTGCTATTGATTATCTTCTATACTTAATGTATTCGCTGCTAAAAGCACTTAGAACTTCTCCTTGCACTGAATAATTTCCAAACGTCCATCATGAAATGTACTAGTATTTCTACTCATCAGTCAAGTGTACTCATTTATCATTCCCCCACATTTGCATGAACGGTGTCAAATGTGCGAAACATACCTGTGGGCAGCAGATTTTGAGGAGGTTGATGGTTTTTCCACAGACGTACACATCGTTGGCAATGTGTCTCAGGAAGATGGGCACACAGTCCTCCACGTCCTTTGAGATCAGAGTGTAGCCTTGGACCCAGAAGTTTTTGTCTGCAGAAATTCAAATGTGAGTAATACATGTGGTTCTAGGGCTGGGCGATATGGCTGAAAAATGTTTCATGACGTAAGCATTTCATATCAGTCGATAATTATTGATACATTTTTTTTTTGTTCTATTTGAAATAAGGACCAGGAGAAAAAAGACTGATTAATACAGCCAAACTGTTGACGTGCCCTTTCCTCTTCTATCCACAATTTCCTCTTGAGTTGTTGCACTTATTTTCTCCTTTCACTAGACATCATTCTTTTTTTAAATTTAAATGTATGAGACATGGTGGTGAAACATGAAACAGCTACTGTAGATGTTAACAGGTTGATGCTAGCTTACTAAAAACTGAGTGAGTTAGTTGATGCCACCAACTTTGCTTAGCTGGGCTTTGAGAGGTGGAGCGGTTTAAGCCTTTCCTCTGCCTACATCCCTGAGTGCCGTACAGTTCTGGCTTGGATTGCTTACTTTCCATTGATAATGATCACATGTCTACTGCGATATGTATTGTTATTGTTTCAATGCCCAGCCCTATGAGGTCCTTTAAATTTGAGCAAATGAAGTTCTGGTTCATTTTTATTCTGAAGTACAGAACATCGATCCTACGACTGAAAAACCTAAAACTGGTCCTGGAGGAGTAAGACCGAGTCCATGCTGAAACTTTTCCCTATTAGTATGACTTGCAGGGCATGGCAAAACTCTGACTGCTTGAATTAACTCTAGGAAACTGTTAGCACTTAGCGCAATGATCATGAGCAAAGAGCATAAGAGAACATGAATTCACAAGCTTCCAGAGCGCTTTACAGAAAGCCTGCGGCTTGCCAAGAAAGCTTTGCTGCTGATTGCTTCCTTGGCCGACGGAGTTCGAAGGGAACAATGACATTTGTGTGTCCTCCAAAAAGGCAGAAGCGCGCACTGTGGAGGCTCGCTGCTGGAATTGATGAGGTGTGGCCGATGAGCAAATGAAACTGTTAGCCAGACAAAGCAGACATGATGGCCTGACCTTGAAAGGGATGTTGCATGACATACAACATTTGGACAGGCAACAATGATTCATGCCACACTATATTTACAAGCCACTGTCAAAATTAAAAGGCTACAGCTTGTACATTCAGGGAGTGAGCTTTAATGAATGCAGTTCTTTGTTTATAAAAAAAAAAGAAGTCGTATTATTTTCTTAATCTTTCTGCAAATTAATTATGAGAAAATAATGAACCAGTTTCCTCACTTAAAACAATTTAATTCCTTTTGTTCCTTAAAAGTGAAATTTATCACTTTATTTCCAGCTTAACTAATGGAGGTTTAATTAGTTTCCTTTTCTACCTTTTTTGTTTTGTGTTCCTGTATTTTACTTTGTTTGTTCACTTAATGACCTTCATTCATTGACTGAACTGTACAGCACTTTGATCAACTCTGTTCTTTTTTTAATGTGCTATACAAATAAATTGACACTGACATTTTTCTACACCCAACAAACTGTTAATCGTTGGTTTGACAGTGGAAATAACTGTTAAAAGAAGACTTAACTGTTCTTTTCAGACAGATATTATATGTTCACCATTGATGTGTTGAGTTAAAACTCACTGCAGATGTGAAGAGAGGCATATAGCACTAAAAACAACTTGAGTGCAGAAAAATAATGGTGCAGTACAAAGCCAGACAGCCAGTTCCTTCAAATTACAGATGGATTTTTCAGCCTTCATCTCTTCCTGTCTTAACTTTGCCCCTCTCTTCTCATGGAATTGAGCCATTAATTGGACAAAACGAATTCACTTGAGCTAGTCCAAATTTGTCAAGTGCAATATATAAAAGAACTATGTTTCTGAAGCATTTCTGTGTTTGGATCCAAGCGGTGCACCAGACAAAAAGAACAAAAGGAAATAATTTGTGTTTGTCTCTGTGGCTTACTGAGTGGAGGTTTGTGTAGTCCCTAAAGCTGAGGAAGCTGATTCGGTTTCCCACTGATTATTATCCAATAACATCATGGCATCCTTTGTAGACACAAGAACAAACTCAACTATGCAATAAGAGCTGAAATGAAATTTATTTGTGCTATTTTCCCTCCTGCTAGACTGTCTGTCTAGAAGCCTTTTCATCTCCAGAACCTGCTGACTGACGTATTTCAGTGATGCATTTTGTTCGTGTGTGTGTGGTGCCATACCCCTGAAGCTGAGGTATTCCTCATTGACTTGAATCATAAATTCTCCATAAACATCTCGGAACACACCGCTGTAGACCCAGTCAGACACAAACCTAAACGAAGCAAAGATTAAACAGTCAGGAAAAGTGCTGACACACTCCAACTTTAATAGTTATTGCCAGCAAAATGGCAGACAATAATGTTTTGCCCATGTCTGCATGTGTGTATCAGGTCCTGTTACTAGATTTTCTCAACCCAAGTATGAGTACGAGTACATCAGTTTGGGTACTCGCCAATACAGAGGACCCAAACGGAAGTACTTACTATGTTAGAACTTCAACATTACACAATAACTTTCAAAATACTTTTCTATTATTTTAGAACAAGAGGGCTCTCCTTCCTTATAGAAACACATCAATACTTGTCCCAGGTATCGAGGCATACAGTACAAGTACTAAATGCTGATATTGGATCTGATACAGATATCAGTATTAGTACTAGGACACAATTATGTATGTATGTGTTGCTTAGTTTGTCTGTTAGCTAAAAATCTCGTGAACCACTGTGTTAAAAAATAAGCAATGTTCTTTACCCGTTACCTGTTCAGATCTAACACCAGTTAATAATAATGACATGTGAATGTTTTAGTGAGCCATACAAAACCATCCGGACACAGCTGTGGCCTGATTAGTTTTAGTTTAATCTGCCTAAGAAAGACATTAGCTAAACAGTGACCAGAACCAGGAAAACCACATCCAGTAAACAATTTTTTTTGCATCCTGACCCCGCCTCATGACATATGATAAAGGGGCAGGCTATTTCTATATGGAGTCAAGATGTCAGACATTATTCCTCACGCTAATGTTTAATCATGATTCTTATATGTGTTGTTTTAAATCATATATGTATCTAACTAAAAGCCTCCTGAGCGAGACCCTGAACACCCTGACCAAAACCCAGTCTGCACATATAATCAATTAAATCAGAAATAACCATAGTATAAAAATATATTACTTTTCACCTAATAAAAGACTATCCAATGTGTAGTGTCTTTAAAAGTCAGTAGTGAACAACCCCAATAAATTTCTTCAACGGATGAATTTTAATGAACAACTGACTAACTTTTGGAGATAACTCAAATAAAGATGGCTGCCACTACTAACTGACTTTAGCCATTGCTATGACTCAGTCAATTTTACAGGTTTTAGGCTGAAGTAGTTGAGAGGCATTGATAACACGCCCTTCAAGTTTAACATCTTAGGATACTGTATCACGAGATTGCAAACGATGTTATGCACAATGTTGGATGAAAATGGCTACAACCATGTCCTTTCTCAACAAAAGATGTTCTTACAGCTCTGGCATGAATGGTAGCAGGCAATACCATTCCTGATGGAATGCTAGGTTTTTAATTTAAACAGTGACTGACCGTGTGTACGGCTCGCAGCTGCTCTTCAACAGGGACAGAAGGACGGGATAGTTCTCATTGCTGCAGTTGTTCTGAGCTTCGTTATACAGGTAGGACAACAGTTTAACCCCCTGAGGAGAGGCCACATGGCACAAGGCTGACGTCTCATGTGGAAGGTTAAATACAGTCATGATCGGTGACTAATTGCACTCCGCAGATAAAAAAAGCACTCACCACAGGGAAGGTGGCTTTGCCTGCACCCGAAGGCCCGTCGACACAGCACAACTCTGACAGGTACCTTAAGTTCAAAGAGGACAAAAGGGGCGGGTGGGAGGGATGGTTTGATCTGAAGATGTCTGCATCATGGCTCTGTCTATTAGAACATGTTTGAACTGTCTGACCTAAAAGATCAAAGGCTGAAATGCATAACGAACACGAAGCATTAAAATAGAAACAGTGGCTTGACCTCACCTAAGCTGGCGTCCGACTTTGCGGAAGAGGAAGCTGATTGTCAGCAGGCTGAGAGTAGGCGGGGTGCTGAGAACACATGCCCGGTAGTAATGCAGATACTTCCTCAGACCTCCAGTGAATGCCTTGAAAAATAAAAAATTAAAATTTTAGATGATTTTATCTATGTGGATATCAAACCAACAAAAATATGTATCTATGATTTGTATGCATAGATGGCTACACTTGAGATTTCTTTGTTTTTTTCTTTTAATAAATAATATTGACCCATTTCTATTTATATTAGAGGATGACTTTGATTTTTGAAAAAACATTTTTGATGGTTTTGTCAGAAATAAATTGTTTATGTTTATTTGTGCCTACTCTTTTCAAATTTCCCCTTAAGGCATGATTAAAACTTTCTAAATTGATGAACACAACACTGGTAGCAACTGTTCAGGAGAGGAAAACAAGTGGAGGAAAGCGTGTGGTCCCAGTGGTATTAATTAATGATGATTATACCAACATACCTGGAAGACTAGGCCCTTCTTGTCAGCACTCTGCAGAGAAAAGCAGCCCAGCCTCAGGTAGTAGGTGCCATACTGTGCCAACTCCCCCAGAAGACGAGACACGCTCTCCGGAGAGGCCCCTGACACACACACACCAGGCCTGACGTCAAACTGAACGCTCTGAGGTAGAAAACACATATATTTACAAGACAATAAGGAAGCGTGCAGTCTAATAAAATCCACTGTATTTGAAGCCCACATAATAAGACTTTGTGTCGGAGAATGAACTCCAGGGTGATTTCTGAAGGCACTGTGGTGGACTTATTATATTAGACAGCAATACATAAGCAGGTATGTGTTTTCCTGTCTTTGCCATCAAAGTTTTATGAGAACAAGATATTGTGTTTCTAGGCAGCAGTCATCTGGGGAAACAAAAAAACAACAGGAACAATAATTTTGCAATCAAACTCCAGCCTCAAAGACTCCTACCTGACTACAGCAGCAAAGTTCAGACATTACAGAATAACTCCAAGTATTAACCTAAAGATCTCTTATTGTTGATTATAATGTGAACACTTTGTTAAATTTATGTGTGTCAGGAGTCAGCTCTCATTGATGCCCACCACGAAAAAAAAATTTTTACCCATCTGTCTGCGCAGTTAGCAAAATGTCATGAATCACTCAGTTGAAAGTAATGACCGAGTTGGCATCTCCAGCTATTAGCCTCAATTCAATTCAGCATGGTCAACTCACCCCCCCAAAAAACACAACAATGGCTATAGCTCAGCCAAATTTACATCCACTGAGCTACAACTTGGTACAGTAATAGATGAGCTTTGACCTTGACAGAATGATTTGATTTGATTTGATGTATTGATTTAACAGGAAAACATTACTAAAAATAAAACCTGACTCAGCATAATTGCTGTTTTACAGCAGTTTCCTGTTCTGCAACACATAAAACACTCAGAAATACAGCATCACAATCACATCATTATACACCATAGACACAAAGACAAA